AACTTTTACAATTGTAGATAAAGTTGAACTTTTTTTTAAGTCCTTCCCTTGTACAGCCCTTTCATCTCTCGCCCTCACATCCTTTTCCTTTCACCATAGACAACCACAGTCTTGAACTTCATGTGATCAGTGTAGCTCATAATTGATACTTAATTTTACCACAAACTCATATTTTTGTACTTATAATTTCATTGGGAATATATAATGCTTTTTGGTTTTGTGGCTTAAAGACATTTATAAAAGTAATATATTGTAGTACCTTTCACAGTTTTCTTTTTTTCACAGAGTCGTATGTGTGTTTTTGGCCTGGAGTGATTTGGATTTGGAAAAGTTGTTTGTTTGTGACTGGGTCTCACTCTGTAGCATTGTCTGGCCTGGAACTCCCAGAGATCCTGCTGCCTCTGCCTCCCAAGAGCTGGAATTAAAGGCGTGCGCCACCATACCTGACAGAACAGTGTATTTCTATGGTCTGTGTGGATAGTCAAATCTAGCTGGTCTCTTTTATTGTGCAGAATGTCATTGCACCACAGCATTCAGTCCATTCCTTGTTGCTGTGACCAAGTGCTTGGAAAGAAGCACCTTAAGAAAGGAAGGGGTTAGTATGGCTCACAGTTTGAGGGTACAGTGCATCGTGGTTGGAAAAGCATGGCGGCAGGATGGTTTACAGCTGGGACAGCTGGGACATGAGGCTTCTTGCTCACATGTTGGTGGGTCCGGAAGCATAGAGGAGAATGTCAGTACTCCACTTGTTCCATTTTTATCATGGAGATAATGCTGCCCACATCATTCACAGTGAGTCTCCCCTCCTCAGTCATCATTGGAAAACTGCTCATAAACATACCTGTTACTCTACCTCATTGATGCCTTAGTGAACTGTAACAGCCATATGTGTCATTGCATTATCATGCTTATTTTGTCATTTCTCTATTAATTAACCTTTAATCTTATTCATAAATTTTGCAAATATTTGATGAATATGCATGTATCCTAAGTGCTGTGCTAAGTACTCATGCTGTGCCAGTGAATAATTCAAATAAAAATCTTTAATTTCTGTTGAATTATCAAAATAAATAATAACAATAGTACATAAGCCAGCAGTAAATTATATTAGAAGGTGTCAGTTACTTTCCTGTTGCTGTGACAAAGCACCATGACCAAGGCAACTTATAAAAGAAGGTGTTTAATTGGGTTTACGTTTTCAGAGGGGTAGAGTCCATGATGGTAGAGCAAAGGCATGGTGGCAGGAACAGTTGAGAGCTCACATCTTGATCCACAAGCACACTGGGAATTGGAAGAGTCTTTTGAAGCTTCCAAGTGCGCCCCCCCCCCACTGACACACTTTCTCCAACAAGGCCACGTGTCCTAATCCATATGAGCCTATGGAGGCCATTTTCATTCAAACCATCATATTAGGTGTTCAATGATGTGAAAAAAGAATCAACTACAATCTGCAATGTGATTCAGGGTAACAGGTTGCTATTTCTGATGATGGGATCTAGTAATGGTTGAGCAGAAAGAAGTTAAGGTGAAGGAGTTAGAGAATTCCTTCAGAGAAAAGAGCCAATGTAAAGTCACTGAGGTGGGAGTGTGTCTGTGATTTGAGGGAACATGGCAAGGGCAGCTTCCTAGAGAACAAGAGCAAAGAGGGAGGGGAAGAGGAATGGCCTCCTTCTGAGGTGACCATGTGGAATGGGGAGACAGTATTTTTTTAATATCTATAGTAATAGTAACTGACTTTGTGCCAGGTATTGTTCTAAGCACTCTTAGGTGGATACTGCTATAGCTGGAGTTTTCCTGCCTGGCCTATGGTCAGGACAAATCTCTCTCACCCGCCAGTCCCACAGCTGCTCAGACCCAACCAAGTAAACACAGAGACTTATATTGGTTACAAACTGTATGGCCATGGCAGGCTTCTTGCTATCTAGTTCTTCTATCTTACATTAACCCATTTCTATTAATCTATAAGTTGCCACATGGCTCGTAGCCTTCCGGTACCTTACATCTTGCTTGTCATGGCTGCGGCTGGCAGTGTCTCTCCGCCTCAGCCTTCCACTTCCCAGAATTCTCTTCTCTGCTTGTCCCGCCTATCCTTCCTGCCTGGCTACTGGCCAATCAGTGTTTTATTTATAACCAATCAAAGCAACACATTTGACATACAGAACATCCCACAGCATACTGCTGTTAACCTTATTTTATAGGTAGTGAAACTGAAGTACAAAGAGCTTACTTAAATACTAGAGTATCTGGTTACCCAGAGTAATCTAACTAAGTAACGGAAGTAGGATTCAGACCCATGTCAACTCATTCAAAAGACAAAGCTTTTGGGTCTGAGATGATCTGGCTGGCTAGGCAAGGGTCCCGTTCCTACCCCCTGCAAGTTCCTCCTGAAACTACACAGTCCAAGGAGACAGCCTTCCCCGCTAGAAGAGGACCATGCTTCTGTCAAGGGTATAAAAGTACCTGTGCTCCCCAGCAGGACCTTCACGCTAGCCCTCAAGACAAAGCTTTAAGCCACACTGCCATCCTTGGGTGTCCGTCTTCACATCTTGCCTTCACCTACTGTAATTCACCTACTCACTGGCAATTGCATCAACAAGTTGGTTTGCAGCTCTCTTCTTTCTGCAGCTTCTGCTGAAGTTCATACTTGTGTCCAGTACCCAGTACATACAGTGCACCAGGCTGTGTTTCACAGGGATGAACAAGGCAGGCAAACTGCAGTGGCTGAAGAAGGCTTGTGTCTTGTTCTGTTGATGTCTGCAGCTTTGTTTGTGGATGGTTAATAGGCCAGTTCGCTGTCCTATTGTTTGTTTGTCCATACCTTTGTTTGTCTGTGGCTAAAACAGATCATACAGTTGTTTTGTTTGTGGCTTCACAACATAGGAAAATAATATATTTAAGTATTTACCACTTTTGATTTTTTTTTCCAAATAGAAATCTGTATCTCTCCATGTGATTGTCTTGACTGTGACAATTATTTCTCATATTATTTCTCATATAATCATTGAAGATGAATGGCAAAAAGTTAATTGGCTTTGACCTTTTACCTGTTTTCTCTTGGAGTTAATTTAATGCTAATTTGGAAACATCAAAATCTCTGCAGAATATTAAACAATTTTCATTCCATATGGCCAAACAAAAAGCTACTCCAAGCAAAATGCTTTCATTCATGGAGACACAGTTGTAGGCTTTTTATCATGTTGCCAAGGCTAAGCATTGGAACCAGTGTTGAGGGGAAAGCATTCCTTGCCTCTTTCCACATGTCGCCCGCAGTCACTTGCTGTGTTTTCATTCCTTTCCTCCATTCAATAAAGAGGAAAAAGGATTCTCTCACTCTTCTTCATGCCTGAAACTAGAGCATGTTAGCCGTGCTCAAATGGGAATGTGTTTCCTCTGGTGACTGGCAGCAACTCTAATCCTATTGGCTACATCCGAGGTTACTGTTTGTGTCCCATCGCTGTTTGTTTACAGCAGCCGTTAGCGATTTTCTTGAGCAGGGCTGTCATGGCCATTGCCTGCACTGAAACCCAAATGCCTCTTAGAAGAAAGATGACAGATTCCACCCAGCCACTTGCAAAACTTGAAAAGCAGTTCCTTGTCAAACACGTGAAAAACAACTCTTCCTTCTAACTTGAAGGGAAAAAGAGAGAAACTGTCTTACTCCAGATGTTGGTTCCTTGCTAGTGAAACAGGCCTGAGCTGGTTCATCCCCATTCCTTTGTCTTCCCTTTGCAAAACCCACAGAGAACACATTTGGGGCCACTTTGCAGAGTTGGCAAGAGTCTCTGCATTTTAAGGGAATCATATGGACACAGAATGCCACAATCAATAGACTCGGAATCCCCAGGGCCCAGAAATGGGATGCTTAGGACTCACATTCTAGGTCATCAGTTAGAATGTGGCCTGGACCCAAGAATCATCCCAATTGTTGCCAGGTTTTGCTTACTTGATTAAACTTGATTCAAACTAGGTTGACGAGAGTTTTTATTTTCTTGTTGATTAGTGGTGGGGGCCAGGAAAACAAAAGAAAGAAATGAAGATGGAGACGAAGTCAGAATGGGAGGAACTAGGATCTCTAAGACTCCCCTTTGAAAGACAGGTGATGCAGCCAAACCACTTTCTCATCGCTGCCGATCTGAACAGGCCAAGCTTTTCGTTGGAGTTAGGCGCCTTTACTTACCATCTATGTGATAAGTAGTGTAGCTGTCTTCATGGATTTAAAGAGGGTCAGAGAGGCCTTCGAATGGGGAGGAGAAAGAAGGGGAGGACAGGAGAGGAGAGGAGAGGAGAGGAGAGGAGAGGAGAGGAGAATTTATTGACAAGCCTGGCATTTCACGGGGATAGACACCATAAGATGTAGTGGAATCCACATTGAAGATACTGTAACATCCATGGTTACCTCCTTGCTAAGTATGTTAAGGACTTAAACAATAGACTGGTATTTGTATTAGTTGGTTTGGGTTTTTTGTTTTGTGGGGAGATGCCCCCACTTTTTCTCCCAGGGTGCTTTTGAGAAGGGAGAAATGAGGAATATGTAGATAGAAATATAGAGGAGAGAGACAGTTAGAAATACAGGATAGCCTTGGGAGGGCCTGGGTCAAAACCCGCCACCCCTTCTGTCTCTGCTAAAGGGCTTTTAAAGGAATGCTAGGGGTGGAGCAAAAGACCTCCCCCCAGCACAGCCAAGTGCAGGCCATCTCAAACACCTGGTGACCATGCACGTGGTCAAGCCATCCCCTATGCAGCCCTACTGTGTAAAGCAAGCTTAGATCTCACTAGGAAAACTTTGTGGGCTCCCACAATTTTGTTTTGTTTTTTTATAACTTCTTCTCCTTGACCTAAGGGTCTATGTGTCAGAAATCACAGCCCGGCCCTTTACCTGTTTCCTTTTAATAATGTTGACTTGGGTCATTCTCAACTATTTCAGCCAATGTGTCTTGTCTGATTAGTTCTGCTTCTGTGCAAGAAGACATTGACCTCCTTCATTATTTTTCCCCCCTTAGGTATCTGAACACACTCAATTAAATTGGATCCTCACCTGTATGGTCAGACTGCCTCGATTGCAGCATTTACACCAGTGGAAGGTAAATGCCAGGGCATGGTTATTAATGGAAAGGAAGGCTTCTGTGTGTTGCTGTGCCAGGACCTAGGAGTCCTGAGTTCACTTGCCACCCTGGTCTGCCACTCACTATTGGCTGGACCAGCATTGTTCATCATCACAGTGTTAAGCAAAATATAAAAGGGTTCACCAAGACTCCTTCTGCCTCCAAAACTCTATTTGTTGCTTGTTTTATCTGTATTTGGATAGACTTGGTGATGATTGTGACCTGCTGCATTATAATTAATGAACAATCAGAATCTCTGGAACACTGTTCCCTGATGTTGCCTCCCATCTCCACTGGAACTAACAAGCATCCGGGAAAGAATGTTTTCACTGTGGGGAGGAGAGATAACATTTTTAACATTTAAACAAGTTGAGCCTAGTTCAAATCCACAGAAGAAAATTAAGACTGTTGTTGTAAGAAGTGCCACTAAGAAAGATAAGTTAGATAATTCATAGTGCTTTACTGCCACTTACCTTTGCAACTGGATAACTCAAAGTAGATAGCTCCAACTATGTCAACACTAATTTTAGTTTCGGCTACTTTTGAGCCTATCTTCTGGGCCGTTGGTTTCCTCAGAAGTTGTTCTTCAGAAGCCATTCCCTAAACTACAGAGAGAGGCCCTCCTGCAGTGCCAGTGCCTGGATCTCGTGGTATGGGTGCATGGGTGCCTCTCTCCCAGAGCCTCACCTTGAAGCCCAACCCCCAGCAGCTGGGGCTTTGGGAGGTGGTCAGATGGGAAGGGTGGGTCCCTCATGAGTGGGATTGTTGTTTTAAAGCAAGCCCCTTCACCTCTCTCCCAAAGCAAGGAAATAAGGACACAAAAGAAGGCACAACTGATCAGTCTTGGAGGTGGTTGTAGGAAGGGGGTCTCATTTCTAGCTCTAGTCTTAGTTTTAATCCTGTACTTCTTGGCATCCAGAACTAGAAAAAATGAACTTCTGTCCTGTTGTTTACAACAGAAACTGATGTCTTGTGGGTGTCCAAAGAACAGGTATTAAATAAGACACTAATGGTGATGCTGCAGATTGACCACCTGCCGGGAATTGGAAACAAAGGTTTCATAAGGTTCTCTAACGTATTTTAATTTTAGGCAAGGCTTTGCTGTTTTAGTATAACACTATACCACTAATTTCTGATTGAACCTAGTAATTAAGGGTAAAAAGTTCTCTGAGACAGAATTTCAGTATCCTGGGAAGATATGCTACGGGCAGTTCTGATCAGGTCAGTGAGCACAGGAGGAGTAGTGTGAAGGTCAGGGTTGCTGAGGTCAGGGTTACCTGGAGGGTTGATAAGTAAAGCATCTATAGCACATTAACAACACTCAGTAAATACTAGTGTTCTCTACATCACCTCACTTCCTTTGTAATTACAAGGACCAATAGGCTAATACAAAAACTGCAGGGCTGGAGAAATGGCTCAGGAGTCTTGAGTCTTCCAGCACCCACATTAGGTGGCTCACAGCAGCCTGTAACTCCAAATTTAGGAGATCCTACACCCTCTTTCTGGCCTTTGTGGGCACCTACACACATGTGGCATGTACATACACAGACACACACATACACATAAATAAAGATAATAGTGATAATATATCCACAAATTGGGAAGCAAGATAACTCAGCGCTAGCCTGGTTCAATTCCTAAAACCCACAGTGGAAGGAGAGAACTGACTCTTCAAAAGTTGTCCTCTCACCTCTACATGCAAGCTTTGGCATGTGCCTTCAGTCATACCAACATGCACAGGTCCAAGAGCACACACACTAAATAAGTAAGTAAATAAATAAATAGGTAGAAATTTATCTGTAAATTTAATGCAACACGGCTTTCATTTTTTAACCTTTTTTTTTTTTTTAACATTTGTATTTATCCTGTATGGGAGCAGGGTGAGCAGTGGCATGTGGAGGCCAGAGGACAACTTTCTGGAAACTTCTCTGTTTCCAGAACATGGTCCTGGGGCTAGAACTTGGATCGTCAGACTTTGTGGCAAGCACCCTTAACCATTAAGCTGTTTTGCCTGCCCTGGTAGCAGCTTTTCAAAAATTGGGTTATTTTGTTTCTTTTTGCAAATTACTCTTCTCTAAATTAATCTTCTATGAACTTCACCCAGTAACATTTGTGATAAGGGGCAGAGTTGACTCCTGTTAACTTTGAGAAATTTAATTTTGTAATGATTTCTGAACGTAGCTGACTTAGAATCTAGGAAATCCCTTTGTCCTCAGTGAAACAGAGGTGGTTGGTACAGGATCCCTCCTGGGGCAAGAGACCATGTGTGCAACTCAGTGGTAGAGCTTGGGTGGGCTTTGCCCCAGCTCCAAAAATAAAATAGCATACAAATGGTAAAAAGTCCCTCTTAGTTCTCCTGGAGCCTGGAGCATGAACATGATAAGCAGCCAGATGATGCTGGAGTTGCTAAAAGGGACTGAAATAGATGTTATTACAGGTGGCTCCAGATCACACTTTGCTTCCTTTAAAAGTTTCTTAATTGAGCAATATAATCAGGTTCAAGTCAGATTTCTTTCTCTTCTCTCCTTGTTTCTACAGGCTAAGGCTGCGAAGCAGAAGCATGATGGGACAGTAGGCCTACTCACATACCCAGTACTGCAGGCGGCAGACATTCTGTGCTACAAGTAAGGAGGGGGGCCAGCCTTGGTCTTGTGCTTATGTACTCTCACCCTGAGAAGAGAGGGGCTGTGTGTGTGAATGTCCTTTGCTTGTTCTTGGCAAGATCTCACTGTGTTGTAGCTGAATTTTTCTCTGGTCCTGCCCAGCCCCACAGACCCTGCAGCTGCTTATAAAATAATCATTCAGAAGCTTATATTAATTAAAACTGCTCAGCCATTTATTTACTCAGGCTTGTTATTGACTAGCTTTACACTTAAATTAACCCATAATTCTTATTTATGTTTAGCCATGTGGCTTGGTACCTTTTTTCAGTTTTGCCTTCACATCTTGCTTCCTCTGTGTCTGGCTGGCGCCTCCTGACTCAGCCTTCCTGTTCCCAGAATTCTCCTCTCTGCTTGTCCCTCCTGTACTATATTTTCGGCCTGGCTACTGGCCAGTCAGCATTTTATGTATCAACCAAATCAGAGCAGCACACATTCACAGCATACAGAGCGACATTCCCATCACTGTGTAGCCCAGGCTCCTTGTGAATGTGTGCAGGAATTGCAGGCGTGTACCACACAATAGTTTCTTTAACTCTTCAGGAAAAGGTGGACTTGAGGAGAAGGAGCTGTAAAAAGGATCAGATATACCAGTCAGCACTGCGTGCTAAATCTGCAGGCTAGTGCTATTTAGAGCTAGTGCAGAGTGCCTACTATGTGCTAGGGACCTTTCCAAGTCATCTCTGTGTGTGAACCCTAACAGCCTTGTAAAACTGATCATCGTTGCCCCTATTCCTCAGAAGAGGAAGCCGAGACACAGAGTGGTCAGCAGCAAATCCAGAGTCAGGATCCGAGTCCTGGGGGTGCTCCCAGTCTAAGATCAGGCAGGTTTGTCGCTTTGAGTCTCCGGTGGGGCGCTAGATGGCAGTGACCAGTGTGGCCAGGAAGCAAAAGAGGAGAGGAGAAGAGAAGGGGAGGGGAAGAGAGAGGAGGATGAGATAGAAGGAGGAAGGGAGGACGGTGGGCAAGAACAGGCAGAACACTAATCTCTAGTGGCTAATCTATAAAGGTGATACTAATACATAATAAGAATAATCTCTAATGGTGGAGTGTGGGTTCTCTGCCTATGTCTGTTTTGTTTTGTTTTCTCTAGTGGGAACTGAACTTAGGGCCTCATGCTTGCTAGACAGGCACCCTACCATGGCCATAGATTGACAGTCCCATTTTTGTGTTTGGCTTCTGATGCAGGGTCTATCCAAGTTGTTCAGACTGGCCTTGAGTTCACACAGGCTCCAAATATGTGTTCCTCTTGCCTCAGCCCCTGGGTAGCTAGAACTACAGCCTCTGTCCAGGTCCCGCTCTGAGTTTATTTCACTGTGCTGCTGTTTCCTGCCATGCTTCTCATGCTGTTTGATGATATCAGCGAGCTGAAGTGGGAGGTGGGGGGGGGGGGGGGGGGGGGTGTTAAAGTGGTTAGCATGCTTCTTAGTTTGGTAAAACTAACACAGACTTAATTTTTTTCCAACTCTGTGATTTCTCAGACAGATTAATCTCTATTATAGATTCAAGCAATCTTAATACATGATTGGTTTCTTTTCCTTAAGTTGAGAAAGTTCATCTTTTCACCACTTCCCTTCCATGTATCTGATTTGCCATCAACACTATCTGTGCACTCTGGGACCAGTACGATGTAACATAGTCATTGTGAGGCTGTGCCCATTGATGGGAGAGCTCATGTAGCTATCAAGGTGCATAGTCATCATGGAAGTGCTGACTGATGATTGAGGACAGGCAGGGGAAGGACAGTGTGTTGCTTACAGTGACATGCATATTAGAACTTATTGCTTATTTCTGGTATTTTTTCATGTATGTTTTTAGGCTTCAGTTGATTTTAGGTAACTGATGCTGCAAAAATTAAAACTGTTACTGGGTGGTGGTAGCACTCAGGAAGCAGAGGCAGGTGGATCTCTGTGAGTTCAAGGCCAGCCTAGTCTACAGAGTGAGTTCCAGGACAGCCAAGGCTACATAGAGAGACCCTTTCTTGGATAAAAAACAAAACAAAACAAAAACAAAAAAATTAAAAGTGTGGCAAGAGGCAACTGATATATACTCTTATCAATTGCCCAAAATCCATTGGCAAAATGATATTGTAGTCTTTTTATTTACAAATTAGATGAACAAGGACACCTTTGGGAGTTATTGAGCAAATTGTACAGGATTGATAGCACCTGATACAGACCGTATGGTTTGTAGATATAGAAGGGCACTGTTAGAAGGCTGGCGTAGTGAAGCAGCTTCCTAAGATCTGAAAGCATGTTTTGCATGCTGCCATTTTTAGAGTCAAGTCTGAGGAATGTCCTCATATCGTACACAAAACTGTAAGTGGTTCACATGTGGCAGGTAAACATAAAAGTTTTTACTGGCTTCCTCTCTGCCTCAGTCTACCTCCAACATCAGCAGGATTCGCTTATAAAAGTACTTAATATTTAGTCCAAGGTAGGCATTCCTGTCTTCAAGATGATGGTCTCCTTCCTTAGCCTGGAAATTACCTGCCAGATCTAATGCCAGGATTAGGTTACAGATGTGGACATCTGCATGCCCCTTTTCTAAGAGAAACAGCCCAGTGTTCTCTTCTGTCTAGTCTCAGGCTAGACCGCCTGAGTTGGGAGTATTTTCTGTTTGTTTTTGTTTTGTTTCACGTATTTCTGTATTTGGGAAAAGTCATGGCCAGAATGTCTAGGAAGACTTATATTATAAACATAGGTAGGTTGATAGATTGAAGGATGGGTAAAATATCTGTGGTTTCTATCCCCCAGAAAGTGTGGCCTCTGCATAAAAGATTGGTGCAAGTCAAATACAGGCTTTATATGTGTTTTTTTCAAAGTCAGCATTAGAATGAGTGGTATGGTGAGCCAGAGAACAAACACTAAGAAAGGAATGGAGAAGCAGCTTCAGATAGGCTTATAAAAGACATGTGTAATTGTTTCCATAGGAATTGTTTAAGGAACTCAGGAATGGAGAGCTGAGATTATCTTACTCAGAGAGCATGATAAATAACAGAAATTTAAGTCAAGCCTGGAGGTGCAGGTCTGTGATTCCAGCTGTTTATCAGTCTGGGCAGGAAGGTCACAAGTTCAAGGCTAGCCTGAGTGACTTAGTGAGACCCTGTCCCAAAATAAAAGTAAAAAGAGGGTAGGTGATGTAGCTCAGTAGTAGAGAGCTTGCCTAGTGTGTATGAAGCCCTAGGTTCAGTCTCTAGCACCATCAAAATAATAATGATAATAATAGAAGATACATAAAGACAGAACACTCAAAAATAGCGGAAGTTCTTAATTTTTATTTATACATTCCTTAATTATCTGAATAATTAAAATAAATTCAGCTAGCCATCAGAGGGCCAGAAGGCCTGCTGCTAGATCATGTCTTCTAGACATGACAGGGAAGTTGTACCCATGACATCTCAACAATATGGTCACCTAGACAGGACCTGCATAATGACAACACCAGATGACATACCAATGTGAATGGGAGAAATCTTAGATGGGTTCAACCACAGATGAAGAGCTCTAGCCAGTTAATGGCTTCTCAGGGAGGGAGAATCAGTCTTCTCCAGGACATGCCCCCTGATAGTTTCCAATCCCAGCTGGTCAGTCCTAAACACATATACATAGGAGCAACACTAAATGGAATCAGTTGGGATGGAGGGTGTCTGTCTGTCTGTCTGTGTCTCTGTGTGTAACAATAATTATAGAAGAAGAGGTCATGAGTTTAAGAGAGAGTTGAGGTGAACATGGGAAGAGTTGGGGGAGAAGGAAGAGTGGAAATGATGTAAACATAATACTCATGAAATTCTCAAAAGCAAATAGCTGGCCACATATTAAGTAAATATTTATTTTTCTTTATTTTTATTTCTCTTCCTATATACGTATACATAGAGAGAGATATACACACAGTGTATTTATTATATTCAGCAGGTGTATATGCAATACAACAATTCTAGGTGTGCCACTGTACATACCCTTGAAGGGAAGAGAAGGGAAGACTGACAAGGGTTGAGCAGTGTTTTCCAGAGCATCCTAATAGCTGATAGATACGTGGCATTCAAATTCTCATGGCGGCTCTCTAAGACAGGCGGGCGATATCCCCATATGTAAGACAGGTGGCTGATATCCCCACCTATAAGATGGATAGGTGATATCCCCATATGTAAGACAGGTGGCCGATATCCCCACCTATAAGATAGGTGGACAAGCCAGGCGGTGGTGGCGCACGCCTTTGATCCCAGCACTTGGGAGGCAGAGGCAGGCGGATCTTTGTGAGCCTGGTCTACAGAGTGAGTCTAGGACAGCCAGAGCTACACAGAGAAACCCTGTCTCAAAAAAACAAGAAAAAAAAAGATAGGTGGGTGATATCCCCATCTATAAGATAGGTGGGCGAGCCGGGCGGTGGTGGCGCACGCCTTTAATCCCAGCACTCGGGAGGCAGAGGCAGGCGGATCTTTGTGAGTTCGAGGCCAGCCTGGTCTACAGAGCGAGATCCAGGAAAGGCGCAAAGCTACACAGAGAGACCCTGTCTCGAAAAACCAAAAAAAAAAAAAAAAAAAAAGATAGGTGGGCGATATCCCTCCCCATTTTCCACATGAAGAAATTAGCTTTCAGGTCGAGGTAGTGTCGTGTCTGAGCACTTCCCTAGTGTGTGTGAGGCACCACCAAAACTGCTAATAAATAGTAACAATAAATAATTGTTAAATTTTAAAAAGAGAGAAATAACTCTCAGGGGAAATGTGATAATTTTGCATAGACAGAGTGATCACCTCACTAATCAGGTTATGTATGCTTCCCAAGAATTTGAGGTGAGAAACAGGAGAAAAGGCCAAGACTGTAAATCGAAAGATAAGATGGGCCTGGTGAGCATGCTCAGCAGGGCAGGGGACTCACCTCCAAGCCTGACAACCTAAGTACAAGCCTAAGAGCCCATGTGCAAGGAGAGCGTTGACTCCCACAGCTGTTTTCTCACCACAAGCATGCTGTGCACACACACACACACACACACACACACACACACACACACACACACACACTCACACACACCACAGAGTAAATAAATGTTAAAAAAAAGAGAGAGAGAGAGAAGTCTGTAATGACACAGAAGAATGAGAAGGTGGGCCTTTAAAAACTGTAAGTAGAAAACCAAACTGTCAGTCAGCTTTCTTTTGCGGTGACAAAATACCTGTGGTAAGTCAGCTCGAATCACTTTTGGCTCAGGTGTCAGGGATTTCAGCCCGTGATTGGTTGGCCTCGTTGCTTTGGGTCTAGAGTGAGGCAGGGTATCATAGTGGAAACATATGGTGGGACAAAGCTGCTTTATTTCATGGTGACCAAAAACAGGTATAGGGAGGCAGACCAGGGTCCCCAAGTCCCCTTCAAGGGCCACACCCCAGTGACCTGATTTCTTTCTAAGCAGGCCCAGCTCCTAAGTGGTTCCTCATCTCCCGGTAGCACCAAAGACTGGGACTAAGCCTTGAGCACTTGGTCTCTGGGGGACATTTAAAGTACAAAGGAAGCCAAGAAACAAACAAAAAAAAATGTAGACAGGAGAATAAGTGGCCTGGGATTTCAGTTCAGTGGTTTCAGCTTCCGGGAGAGTCGTCCTGTTGTCTAAGGGTGGAAGTGTCGCTCCTGGGAGTAGACTTTTCTAGAGCAGGTCTTAAAATCATAGGGTTCCTAAACTTCATCCAGTGAGCCCAGGCTGTCTGTCTGTCCTGGAGTCTTCCGAGGTCCTGAAAGCTGCTGCCCCGATGGCGTTCTACCCTACTGCCTGCGCAGTCAGTCCTCTGTCTTTCTGGAATAGCTAGAGGGCAGAGTGCTCTATCAAACCAAACTCCCTCGAGAGGCAGTCTGGGCATGGACTCTCCGGGCTTCTGGCCCCGGAAACTGGGAGCTGGCAGAGAGCGGAGTGAACCGTGGTTGACAACAAACAAGCCAATATGTGCTCCACCAAGAGTGGGAAGCTGTCTCTGTATTTTAAGGACCAGGTGAAGTGGGTGTCAGCGATGCTTCCTAAAGGATGGATTAAAGGAGAGCAGCAGCTGGGAAGTCTGTCCAGAGGCCATTTCACCAGCCGAGAGCTCGATAGTGATGGTAAAGAAAAAGACCTACGACTTCACAGTAGATCAAATATGAACGAGTGACGTGTCGGGGGTAACCACACATTTACTGTGGTGTTGCCCTGCCTAAGGTGGGCAATGCTGGGAGAGGACTAGTGAGAAGTTACAGTTCCACTCGGTTTCTGACGAGTATCAGTGTCTAAAAGTAATTGCTGTAATGGAGAGTCACTGCAGTGTGTCCAGCAAGCAGTCAGTGAGGGGGAGCCAATCCTTCGTGACAGTACAGACAACTCCAAGCCCCTTCCCCAGCCCGCCGAGTAAAGGCAGCAGTTCTGCAACCTCACAGGCACAGCCAAGCAAGGAGGGAAAAGCAAGTTCTACATAGGCAACGATCATTCATCTGGACACTAATGCTGCCAAAGGGGCGGGACGGAGCCCCAGAAAACTTCGAGGCAATAAGGATCGAAGCAAAAGAAAAACGGTTCAGTCACCAAAGAAGAAGATCAGAGGCATTATTATGTGACAGAAGTTATAACAATCAAAATTATGAAAGACTTTTGTTTTATGTTGTGTCTGAGAAAGCACAGCCAGGGTGAGAGGGAATAAAAAGGAAGGAGAGAAAGAGTGGACGTATTAATATGGATATCATTACGTCGGATATAAATTTTAAAAGAACAGCCCTAAATTATTTGAAGTGAAAGGCAGACTGTGAGGAGAGAGGTTGAAAACGTGAAGAGAATAAGCCCCATAAGTGAGTGGAATCAAAGACAGGCTGAATAATGTAAAGTGTGAACTCAAGGGATGAGAAGCAAAGGCCAAGATAAATTACAGGAGGTGAAAGCGGCAGCGGCCGCAGAGGGAAGAGGGACCAGAAACAAACAAACCAGAGTCAGATGCAAACGCCACGTGGAGCAACAGGACCAGGTGAAAAACATTAAAATGTTTTTAATCCTCTTATAAAAAAAAATCAAAACCCCACAGAACTGTAAGAAAAGAGTCAGGGATCCGACATGAGGCAAGACGCACACAGCGTCATTATGGAAACTAAATGTGTTTTCTGTTTAGTGGGGTGGCTTTGTGAGTCTGGAACCATTTTGACATGTGGAAATATTCATTTTGATGTGCTTAAAGTGTATTGATTATGGTAATTGTTTTTTCTGTGTTAGTTGCAGTCCATTGTGATTTCCTATGGGCTACTGTAATTGCTTTTTAACCTGCTCTCTTGGCTAATTTGGGCTGGGGGAGCCAAGGTGACCTCTGCATATGGGCCTCACTATAATTACTCGGTAAGAGTAGCGAAGACCAGCCGAAGAGAAATTGACAAAAGCAGGCCATGTGCTTGTGTACCCCAAAGAGGAGCCCGTGCTGAACAGAGAGGGTCCAGAGTAGCCATGCCACTTTTACCACTCACTCAGCCACTGGCCTTCTGCTCCGGTGCCTTTAGCTCTCCCAGGCCCTCTGCAGCTTCCCCGATCTACTTTTGCTGACCTCAGAAAAGGAGGAAGCACTTCCTAGTTCACAGCCTCGGCCATGCCTTCACCTTGTCACTCACTTTCTGTTTTTCTTATGGCAGAGTTCTCAGAAGTCCTATAAAATAGTTTATATTTGGGAGTCACCTGTCGGTCTCACGTATACTTTGTACCCAAGTCTGAATTGTCACCCGGTCTATGGCCATCCCTGGGGTTGAGCATTGGTATTTCTGTTTTCTCAATGGGTGAGTTGGCCATTAAAAGAAAGATGATCTTATTTGAGAAGTCAGTATGACTCCCATAAGGCCATATATGTCTCTTGCCATTCTGTCCTTCATCGTATCAAACATTAGCGGGTAGTTGTCATATCAATTGCTTCCATGTATTGAGGCTTTACTATCAGGAGCGCCCCTTGGTAACCGTAGAAACAGCCGGAAGAGGATGGTGCCATCATTACCTCAGTTTGCAGAGAGATTGAAGGCTTGGGAAGAGGGAGAAACTCGAGATGGTAACTCACTGCTTCTTCCAAATTAAAATTCCTTGATCAGAAGCTGCAGTTGTGCTATCAAACCTAACCCCACAGCCAAGCATTTAACATTGAAATCACCTGTCTCCACCCATGGGCATGCTTCCCGGATTCCATGCTTTGAAGTGCACATGCAGGAATGAGAGCATCATAAATAGATTCTCTGCGTTCTGGGTGGGTTTGTTTTTTTTTTTCCACATCCTCATTTCTTAATGAATACACATTTTTAGTTAAAAGTCAAGTGTCCTTAGTTCTTTTTCTCAAATCATTTTCTTCCCTCTCTAAAAGCAGCTACAGCATAAAGGGGGTTTGGGAATGTCTTGTTTTTCCTCTTCTTTCTTATCATCATGATCATCATTGCTATCTGTCTTTCAGTCCTGGAGATTCAACCCTGTGCCTTAAACGTATGAGGCAAGTGCTGAATCACTGAACCACAGCTTCAGCCTTTACCAGGTTGCTCTAATCATTGCAGACCTGTGCATCTATAAAAATATGTTGCATTTGAACGTATACTTTCATAATTTACATAAATGTCAGTGTACTCCTCACATGCTCTGCAATTTGCTTTCTTTAAGACCCATCTATGTTGTACTTTGAGATTTTCATTTAAGTTCCCAGGGCATATTAACTGTCCTCCGGTTACAATGACTTGAAAATGAAGGAGCATATTGCAGAAAGATCTCAAATCATTTCTTGTTTGATGAGGAGGGAAACCTCTGGCCGGAAGAGCTGTCTGCCATCTCTAATTTGAAGACTGGGTGGGGGTATCTTTCAAGTGTGAGCCGCAGCTCTGAGGTAAAAGCATCTGGTCTAGGCTGGAGTAATCTGTGCTGACTGGGTGAGGGATGAGGAGTGGTTTTTAAACACAATTATGCGCAGCGCATGTGTGCTATTGAAGATGCCATGGCTCCCTCCTGGCAAGATCCCGTCATGCTGGTGTTGATGGCTGCACTCCTTTGCGATGGGTGAAACAGAACCAGAGTAGACAAACATCTCTTCAGCATTTGTCTGACACACAGATAAAGACTCGGGTCTCGGTGTTCCCTCTGTAGTTGGTGAACATTTGTTGAACACCAATAGTGAAGTAGACCCAGGACATGCAGCTGCTTGCAATACCATTTCCGGCTAAGAAGGAGCCTTGCTGAGTTTTTCTGTCTGTGTTTTATTAAAGGTCCACACACGTTCCTGTCGGGGAGGATCAAGTCCAGCACATGGAACTTGTTCAGGATCTAGCTCGAAGTTTCAACCAGAAGTATGGGGAGTTGTTTCCATTGCCCAAGTCCATTCTCAGTAAGTGACAAGAGGGTGGTTATGAAATCTGGGCACACACTGAAGAATAAGTGGACTGGAGGCCTGGAACTTCGCTGGGACTAAATTTGGGATTCTTAACTGGAATCCTTATTGTTTGGGGTTATGTGGGACTAGGAGATGATATTGGAGTCTAGAAAACATAAAAAAAAAAATTATGAGCTGGGCTGTGTCAGTGCACACCTTTAATTCCAGCACTAAGGAGGCAGAGGCAGGCGGATCTCTGTGAGTTCCAGGCCAGCCTGGTCTACAGAGTGAGTTTCAGGACAGGCTTCAAAGCTACACAGAGAAATCCTGTCTCAAAAAGGAAAAACAAAGTTGTAAAATATGGGAGAAACTTTTAAAAAATCATAATTTTAGTTTCTAAAATATGTCAATAGATTATATAAAATAAGATTTTATTTGATAGAGCAAATTACATGCCCTATTTTACACATAAGCCAACTAAGGCTCAGCAAAGTTCACTCTGTGTTCAAGTCACATGTCCAGTTGATCACAGAGCTGAGCCCCGTCAGCTCTTCTGATCCCAAAGCCTCACCCTTCTTAACATTCACAGTAAGACAAATGCCAGGAGAATGAGAAGTGCTCAGTCATAGTCCAGACAAAATGAGGAAGAATGGATGATCCCCAAAGGTGGTTTTCTGAGATGAACAGGAGAGATGGGGCAGTGCATCTGAAATGCCAGCCTTGGCTCTGCTAGGCTATCTCATGGGTTGAAGTCAACCTCCTTTTTAGCAAACAGGATTTCTATTGCTGTTTTACCCACTTTAGTTTCATCTTTAATAGTTTCATTATAAACAAAGCAGGTATCAATAACACTGGTGTATGAAACATAGCCTAACACCCCCCTCTGTGTGTGTGTGTGTGTGTGTGTGTGTGTGTGTGTGTGTGTGTGTGTGTGTGTTTCTATGACTGTGTGTATGTGTGTGCGCATGTGCCTGTAAATATATAATTCTGTGTAGAGATGTGGAAGGATTGCCACAGATGGTTAAATGCAGCATTCCTACAGCAAGGTGGGAAGTGGAGGCAGGAGAATGGCCAGCAAGCCTAGGGAATGCTGCATAGTGGCGGAAAAAAGAGATAACCTGCCTCAGAACAAAGGGATGACAAAAACAGATTCCCAGAAGTTGCCCCTGGCCTCAAATTCTCCATGGCACGTATGTATCTGTACGCACATCCACACACACAAGTTTTTAAAAATATAGATTGTATTCACAGAGCCATCTTGGCACTCACCATGCAAGTCTAGTGACCTGGGTTCCATCCCTGGAGCCTACAAGTGTGCACAGCATAGGCAGCATAATTCCGTTTGTGCCAGTTACACACTGGATGAATCACTACCCATACATGATGTGGATATTACATTATCAAGACCTGTTTCTGATGTCTTTACTTCCACATTTGACAAACTGCTCAAATTCTTCAAGATGAAGGTGTGCTCTCTGTGCAGTCAGATAATATCTCTGGTATTTTTGGTGTCTTCGAGATCTAGACTGTAACAGTCTTGATGACTTGTCTTCTTTTCACTAGCATCCATGAAGAAAGTGAAATCCCTCCGTGATCCCTCTGCTAAAATGTCAAAATCGGACCCCGACAAACTGGCAACTGTTGGAATAACAGACAGCCCAGAGGAGATCGTGCAGAAATTCCGCAAGGCTGTGACGGACTTCACATCGGAGGTCACCTACGAGCCGGACAGCAGAGCTGGCGTCTCCAACATGGTGGCGATCCATGCGGCGGTATCAGGCCTCTCTGTGGAGGAGGTGGTGCGCAGGAGCGCCGGCCTGGACACTGCGCGCTACAAGCTGCTGGTGGCGGATGCTGTGATCGAGAAGTTTGCTCCAATCAGGAGAGAAATTGAGAGACTGAAAATGGATAAGGACCATTTAAAGAAGGTTCTACTTGTTGGATCTGCAAAAGCCAAAGAATTAGCCTATCCTGTGTTCGAGGAGGTGAAGAAATTGGTGGGGATTCTGTAGGAAAGTCAGCCAGTCACCTGCACTCCAGTCAAGACAACTTTCCTCTGGCAGATTTTAGTCTGTACATATTTGGTTTGATGAGTGCTTCCTTCCAATCGATGTTCCAATTCCATCAGCAAATGCTATTATCAGGAGAGCTGAAGCAGGCTCAGCTCTCTGCACCCGAGTTAACTGAGGTGCTATATTTTGGGTCTTAAGTATTCCCACATACTTGACAGCTAAACAATAACTGAGCTATGATGTGTCGCTGAAGTTTTTTCCGGTCTTGCCCAGCCCCACAGACCCCCTACAAGCCACTTATAAAATAATCATTCAGAAGCTTATATTAATTAAAACTGCTTGGCCATTAGCTCAGGCCTACCATTGACTAGCTCTTACATTTAAACTAACCCATTTCTGTTCATCTACATGTTGCCACGTTTTTTTGTGGCTTTACCTGTGTGCCATTACATGCTGCTCCCTGGATGGCAAGCTGGCGTCCTGACTCAGCCTTCCAGCCTTCCCACAATTCTCCTTGTCTGCTTATCCCGCCTATACTTTCTGCCTGGCTACTGGCCAATCAGCATTTTATTTATCAACCAATCAGAGCAACACATTCACAGCATACAGAGCGGTATCCACAGCAGTGATGTGTGCTTATTTGTGCCATCTTTACTGTGACAGGTGCACTTTGTCTATCTCTAAACCCTTTGTAAAGCTGTACATAGAGGTCCTATGCTGTAATCCTGAATCTAGTAGTTTTTGGAGTTCTTCAAAACAGGTTTGCTGTGGATATCACTCTATATAAATAAAGCACTGATTGGCCAGTGACCAGGCAGGAAGTATAGGCGGGACAAGGAGAGAGGAGAATTGAGGAACGAGGAAGGAAAGGGAGACCAGCTGGAGCCACCGCCAAGACAAGGAAGATGTAAAGTACCGGTAAGCCATGAGCCACGTGGCAAAGTAAAGATTAATAGAAATGGACTGAATATAAGAGTGAGAGCTAGACAATGATAGGCCTGAGCTAATGGCCAAACAGTTTAAATAATGTAAGAGTCTGTGTGTTTATTTTATAAGTGGGCTCCGGGACTGGCGGGACTTGGCGGTGGGAGCTGGAGAAAAATTCTCCAGCTACACAGGTTGATTCTTACAGCTCATGTGTCACTGAGATGATGTTTATCCTCAAGTATTTGAGTGACTTAACGTGGGCCAGCAAGGTGGCTCAGGCTCAAGTCTGACAGTCCGAGTCCATCCTCAAGACCAGCATGGTGGAAAGAGAAAATTGACTGGCAAGTTGTCCTCTGACCTCCATTTGTGCACCTTGGTATAAATACACACACACACACACACACACACACAACAACAACAACAACAACAACAACAAATAAATAAAAATATAATAATCTAATACAATAATCTACCTAACTTCTGCTTGTTTTCCAAGAAGCCATGCAGGCATATTCCAGCAAATGTCGGTTCTTAAATTCAGAGATTCAGGAGGTCAGCATCTGAGAGCTGTTGTATTGCCTCAGTTTCATTTACTTATTATTCAGGGCCAAGTTGTCATCCTGTGTCCCGTCCTCCCCCCCACCCCCGCTTTTTTTTGTTTTTTGAGACAGGGTTTCTTTGTGTAGCCTTGGCTGTCCTGGATCTTGTTCTGTAGACCAGGCTGGCCTGGAACTCATAGAGATCCTCCTGCCTCTGCCTCCAGAGTGCTGGGATTAAAGGCATGTGCCACCACTGCCTGGCTGGATCGTGTTCTTAATAAGCACTTTTATTTTTATACTCATTTCAGTTTAGTCTCACCAACCCCTCCCTCTGGCACACATTGGAGAGGAGTTACATTTTACACATAGTGGAACCAGGGGGCAGAAGGTAGAATTAGCTCGCACAGCGTCACTAAGTAAGAAGCAGACCCAAGAGTGAAGCCCTTTCTCCCTACTCCCACAACAAGTGCTTTTTAACAATTCGCCCCAAAGCCCTGAGAGCCAAAGTTTTGAACCTCTAAACATTCCAGTTTTGAAGATGGGTACTAGAAAGACAAAGCCTGAAATAGTGATTTTGTTTGTATCAACTCAGCTAGTTGATACAAACAGAACCTCAGATGTGGGTCCCAAGACCTCGCTTCTAGATGGCAGAGACGCCTCTTGTCTCTGCCGGACTCCAGTGGGAGCGAGGACTGAAGCCTCCAATATTACCAGTGAAGGGAAGCTTCTCATCTTATGTCTGCCCCAGTCTCTAGGCAATAACAAACCACCCAGACATAGAGCTGCACTTCCATGTTCACACCTGAAGACAGAAATGGCAGTCCTGGCTTGCACACTAAGGCCTCATATCAAGACTGATTTTGCAAGGACCAGCAAGGTGGCTCAGCCGAAAAGGGTGTTTGATGCCAACCAAGCCTGACTACCTGAGTTCAGTCCCTGAGATTCACATAGTAAATGGAGAGACCTGGCTCCCCAAAGCATTCTTTGACTTACACACACACACACACACACACACACACACACACACACACAAAGAGAGACAGAGACAGAGAGACCACAGTGGCATACACAAGCCTGTCCACATACAAATAAATGTTTATTTTTTAATTTTAAGATTGATTTCACAACGCACACCATTGTCACCTAGACAACTGGGACTAGGAGACATGGCATCCCAGAGTCAAGATTAAAACACAAACTTGACTCAGGGAAAAGATACATTTTACCTTTTTTGTTGTCGTTGTTGGGGTGGCATGTTGTTTTCTTAATTCATTTATTTATTAGTGTGTGTATTTGTGTGGGCAGGCTCATGCCAAGGCATGCTACACCTGGCCCGTTATGTGCCACGAGGAAGGAGAGAGACAAACATGGGTATCAAAGATTTTATTAAATCACCACGTAAGTGGATCACTAATCAATCAGGGCTGCAGGACAGGGACTCAGAGCCTTGTTTCTCCTGACAGACCAAGGAGGGGCAGAAACAGGTTTATAAGCATGAAAATCACAAATATTTGTTGCCAAGTTACGATTATAATTTTCACCAATCAGGATTTAGAGATTAGGGGCTTCCTTGAATGTTCCATCATTGTCAACCTTTATACAATGCAAGCCTTTCAGTCCAGCCAATCAGATTTATTTGTTCTTTTGGTGGTTAAGAACAGCCATAAGGTTTCTAGAGAAATAAAGATGCTTAACAACTATTTGTACGGTTTAGGGAGGAGGTTGATCAGCCATTGGAAAGTTCTCGGTTTGCCTAGGAACCTGAACTTTATTTCACCCTACAGGGTAAAGTCTGAAGTCTAAAGTCAAAATGGCAGTGCTTAAGCCAAGGTGCTTTTGCCTGCTCCCTTTGATATCTGTCAGGGTTGGAGGACCAGTTCTCTCCTTCCCCCATGGGAGTTCCAGAGATCAAAGTCAGGTCATAAGGCTTAGCATCAGGTACGTTTCCCTGTTGAGCCATTTTACTGGCCCCTACATTTTATCTTTTAGATCTTTGTCAGAGATGTCTGTAATCTGAGGGCATCACTGGATATGTTTCTTCCAAGGATCTTTTTACTTTCATTTTATTTTAATTTTGTTTAATGTGTGTGTGTGTGTGTGTGTGTGTGTGTGTGTGTGTGTGTGTGTGCGTGTGCGCGCGCACATGGGTGCATGAGCACATGCTCATGTGCGTATACATGCCACAGTATATGTGTGATGTCAGAAGCCAATGTGCGTGAGCTGGTTTTATTCCACTGTGTGGGTCCCAGGGGTCAAACTGGACTGGCAGCAGGCACCTCTACCTGCTGAAGCGTCTCACCAGCACCTTTCACTTGCCCTGTTAAGGAAGCCTGTTAGGAAAACTGGAAATTATATCTATCAAACCAGTTGCCTGTTTATCTGTGTGGTTTTTACCCCCTGGCAACACTTCTGTCTACCAAGAATTAAAGACAACATGGAAAAGATCTCCAAAAGTGGAGGTGGGAGGAAGCATTAGAACAGGATAACCTCTGAGGAGCAAAGTCAGTGCACTGGTAGACTACAGTTGACTGCATCCTGTTATTTAAGACTCCTACTGCATAAAATGTAAATTTGCCATAATCATTAAGATTCTTGCTCAATGCATTAGAGTTCTCCAAGGGAAAAATCAAATAGGACACATAGAAACAGGGAAAAAAAAGAGTTTATTGGGGGCTGGAGAATGGCTCAGTGGTTAATGGCATATACTTTTCTTGCCAAGGACATGCAGTTTGTTTCCCAGTACCCATGCTGGGCAGCTCACAACTGCCTGTAACTCCAGCTCTAAGGGGATCTGATATCTCTGGACTTAGCGTGCACCTATACTCATATGCACATAGCATACATTTTCCTGAAAAAAAATAATTTGTTGTATAGATTGGTACAAAAACTGGAGAAAAAAGTCAAAATCATAATATGTTTATTGTCTTCAATCGAGGGAGTCGGGACAGTAGTGTGATCCAGTCCAGATTTAAAGGCTAAATAATCAGTGGTACACTCAGTCCAAGGCTTTCAGAACCTAGAGACTGGGATGGGAGCTCCTGTGTAAGTCCCAGAGTCTGAAGGCCTGGGAACAAACTTTGGCATTTCAGAATGGACCAGCTCAAGAACAAGTTGGCCTTTCCCAAGTTTTTGAAGTTGATTGGCTTCAATGGATTGGCTGGGGCCTGGCCACATTGGCAATGATAAGTCTTTGTTTACTGACTCTGCTTCCAGTTTTTTCTAGAAATAACCTTACAATACACCAAAAAGGAAAATAGGAAGTTTCACCAGCTATCTATGCAACACAAGCTGACACATAATGTCAACTGTTGCACCCAGTCATCTCAAAAAGTTGATAAAAGAACAAAGGCTACAACCTGGATATGTTTTTCACATCTCTTCCCATTTCATTCACAAGCCCAGAAAAAAAAATTTTTTTTTGAGACAGGGTCTCTACATAGCCTTGACTGCCCTGGTCCACTATGTAGACCAGGCTGGCCTTGAACTCACAGAAATCCACCTACCTCTGCTTCCTGAATGCTGGGATTAATGACTTGCACCACCATGCTAGTCCAGAGATCTTTTTTAATATAAATGAAGAATTGGAAATAAATACAACTATGGTTGACTTCCAAAGGTAATTTTGGTGGTTGTTTCCTATTTCTTTGTGGAGAATGTGAATGGTAAAATGTTTCAGATAGTAGTGGTCAGGCATCTTGGTGCTCTGTAATTCTGCCTACTGACAAACACAATGAGTAGGTTTATCTTCACAGGCACTTCATAAACAGTTATCAGAGTAATGTCAGCAAATGGGCTAGAGACTTCTAAAGAAGTGTGATTTCTGTCCTCCCCACCCCCCAATCCTTTTTGATGCTCACCATAAGCATGGTTATCACAACACAACTACCAGCACTGTTGGGTTCTCACTGTCTATTAGGCACCGTACTAAATGTCTTCTTAAGACAATAAGACATTCCATCACTGTAATTATATAAAGAAAACTTTACTTACTTACTTACTTACTTACTTACTTACTTACTTACTTACTTACTTACTTTACATCCTGACTGCAGCAGGCTCCCCTCTCTCCTTCCCTCCCCCTCTCTCCCCCTCTCTCCCCCTCTCTTTCTCTCCTTCTCCTCTCTCAATCCACCCCTCTTTCATATTCACTCAGAAAGGGGCGGGCTTTCTATGGGCATCTGCAAAGCATGGCATACCAAGCTGCTGTAAGACCAAGCACCTCCCCCTGTATTCAGGCTGGGCAAGGTAATCCAGCATGAGGAATAGGATCCCAGGGATAGCCCTGCTCCCATTGCCAGGAGTCCCACAAATAGACCACTCTACACAACTGTCACACATATGCAGAGGGCCTAAGTCAGTTCCATGCAGGCTCTCTGGTTGTTGAAAAACATTTACTTTTATTTTCTTTTAGTTTTGAGGTTTTAGTCCATGATTGGTTGGTCCATTTTCTTTTGTGTTTGCCTCAGGACAGTGCATCCAGACTACATATGACTAAGGCTGACAATAAGCTATCTGTCATGGTTGGGAAGTGCACCCAGCATTGTTCAGTTCCTGATAATGGTAGAGACAGGATTCCAACACAACTTCTAAGGGGTAGAATTAGGATCCAGAGTCTTGCAAAGCCACTAGGTCCCCTTGCACAACATGTTCTGGTACACATGACTACTGTGTGCCCTAAAGACAACACTGTTGGATATTTCCATGTAAATTTAAATTAATTAAAATTAAATTTAAAAATCGCTTCCTTGTCAGTGTTTTCAAATTCCATATGGCTAGTGGGTGCCAGACAGTGCAGACAGAGGACTTGCCCATCATGGACCTGTTTATTGGACAATGCTGCTGTGAGGCATGGAGTTTACCTGTGATTGAAATAGATCAAGAACATGGAATGGGACTCTTCCTGGAGGGGTCCTCCTGAGGACAGTACAGTTTCTCCATACAGTTTTAAAAGAAAAAAAAACATAATGCGCTATCAAGCATTATGTATTGCCATACACTGGGAATTAAGTATACTTCGATGCAATATCGCATTTATATCAACCCTAAAGATAGAAATTCTTAATTCCACTCTTTAAAGTGAGAAAGCCTACTCAGGAAATATGTCTAAAGCCACATGCTTATTATTAGCTTCAAGTTTCTTCTCATTGGGAATCTGAGGTATACCTTGACGAGCAAGCCCTAAGCAGTGGGCTGACCTTGCTAGTCCACAGTCTTCTCTTCTGTATTCCATTATATTCTCAGTCCTTATATTTTCCTGTTCTGCCCTCTCTGCTTCTCCTGTTCTTCCTGCTTGTTTCACTGTTCTTATAATTATTCCCAAAAACTTCATTCATGCACACAATACAGCCCTTAGCTTTTGTTCCCAGCCAAGTGGCCTGTATCTGTTCCGAGTTAAAAGGAATGACTGTGCCATGTGGCAGTTCTTGGTCTCCTTAACATGAGGATTCATCTGTGTCGTCATTAACTATGTGCTATCCCTGTGTGATCACTTTTTTTCATTCTGTCAACTTGGTGGCTCTTTTGAAATTTTTTGCACAGGAAGAGTCAGTTCCTGCCTGAAACTGATCTGAAAACAGATTGCCTATCATTAGCAATTAGGATTTTCCAGCACCCTGGGACACAACAGCCAGGAGGCTTTACTGCTTATCATTTTAAGCTCTCATATGTTAACTCTCAACAATCCTGCTTTGTTGATTACATAGGGATTGTTTCTTTGTCTAGGAAGGAGACTGGAGTCCAGTTCATTACAAATTTGTCCTCAGATATGCAGTCCAACACTGTGATCAAGTTTATGATGGCTCTACCTTGTGAGAGCAACGATGGAAATGCAATACACCTATTATTTAGCAGAAGACACACAGAGATGCAAGTTAGCAAATGCTAGATCAACTTGGGAGTGAGCAATTAACATGGATACTCAGGGGGAAAGATGCCACTTATCAGGGATAGGAGAAAGGATTTTCTTTTCTTTTTTTTGTTGTTTGTTTGTTATTATTTTATTTTCTGTGTGAGTGTTTTTCCTTCATGTCTATGTGTCCACTACTTACATGCTTGGTGACCACAGAGGTCAGAAGATGGTATCAGATCCCCTGGAACTGGAGTTATAGATGGTTGTGAACCACCATGTGGGTGCTAGGAATCCAACCCAGATCCTCTGCAAGCCATCTCTCCAGCCTGTGTTTCTACATTCTTGATACCTCGCAACTGGGATTACATTCCACCAGAAGCTTCAGAGCTAAACCACATTCAAACCATGCAAAATGTCACACTCAGTGGTCTTCACATAGATAAAATATTTCATATCTAATATAACTGTGTCTGTTCTGTAGAATACACTCTTCCCTATAAGCTCCCCACCCTAACCCACATATACATCAGGCCCTCAATTATTTTCAAAAGGTATTTCTAAAAAGCAGATGATGTGACTTACGATTCTATTTTGAACTCTGATTTAACAGATTTCACTTTTTTTTTAGTAATATTTAAAGATACAGGCTCTACCTTGGAAGAAAGCCATGTCCTGTTTTAGGTACATGGATGTTGTGAAGAATAAATGCTGTGTGCTGGCTCTTTCTACAGGGCCCTACCACATTAGCATGTCCCCCAGTAAAGCCCTGTGAGCATTGTCAATTCAAATAAATGGGCTATCCCGAGAGTGCCTTGAAATTTCAAAACCTGCTCCCAATAAGGGGGTTATGTGATGATTTTTTAAATTAAACTTCGTGAGTTATCAAGACATGGCAATGGGAGCTAGCCCTGGGGATAGAAGTGCTCTGGTCATGGACAGTCAGTGAGCAAGGAGTGTCCTGTTCCTAAGCACTATTCCAGAAGAAAATGTTTGTACTGGAAGAGGAGGTCTACTCATGCTTTAGGATGGTTTCTTCACTGGGTCTCTACAGAGAAAATGAATGAATAATGAGATTCTGAAAGTTGTTGACCTTTTGGCAGATTCTTCTTTAGCTCCGCCCTCTTTGCTTGCTGGTGTTCATTCAGCTTCAATCCTGCTCAGCTGCAAGCTCAGCTCAACAACAGTTCTCTGATAAGTGTGCAGCATGGTCATGAACATCTACCCCTGGAGTTTCTCACACTTGCTTCTCTTCCCTACATCTAAGATGATGCCAGACCAGGCTACCACCCCTGCTTCTCTTTAACAAGCAAACTAAACAAATACATCCCCAAGGCCAAGCAACCCTTCTAGTTGAGCACGTTATAACTTACACACTGCCACTTGTCACCAAAGGGAAGTTCTTTGGTGAAATTTTCGTAGATTGGGGCTGGAGAGATGGCTCAGAGGTTAAGAGCACCAACTGTTCTTCCAGAGGTCCTGAGTTCAATTCCCAGCACCCACATGGTGGCTCACTACCATCTGTAATGAGATCTGGCTCCCTCTTCTGGCCTGCAGGGATACATGAAAACAGAACATTGTATATATAATAAATAAATAAATCTTTAAAAAAAAATTTTGTAGATTATTACTGTCTTGATTATCACTCCCTTGATACTGGACGCTACTGAAATCAAACATGTGTGACCTCTGTGTAGTCATGGTATGTCTGAACTCCTGTGTCCTTCCCACCATTCTATAGCAACTATCCTCGTGTGCCTCACCAACTCTCAGCCCTATGGTCATTTCTGTGGCAGCCACTATCATGACTTCCATGCCATAGTCTACAACTAGATAACCATCAAACCATCTGTTGTCCCACATCCATCTATTAAGAAAAGAGTTCTCAGGTGCACTGTGATATGCTGGCCACATTGAAGTCAACAGAAAAGATTGTATTGTTTGATCTGTATCAACACCAAATTAACAACCTCAGTACTGATTAGTATTAAGCATAATTTTTTCCTTTTCTCCTTTTAGAAAGAATACATACATGTACACAAAAAGCCTTATTGTATTTACTGCTCAGGTTTTCGCTACTTCATTCAGAGGTTTATCATAGATTTTTAGTAACTGCTAACTCTCTTCGAGCATTCACCCTTCCCTTCTTTCTTGTTAGTAATAGGACCATCTCTCTGAATTTCAGCAGAGCTCTCAGCCCCAGGTAGGTCCTCCATTTCCCAACTTGCAGTGGGGTAAGTGTGATGGCTGTTCTTGGTTATCAATTTGATTGCATCTGAAATTAACTAAAACCCCAAAATAGAGGGACACACCTGTGAGGGATTTGTGCGTAATTTGAAGTGGGAAGGTCTATTTCTAACCCAGATCTTTGAGGTGGGAAGACAAGCCTTTAATCCAGAACTTTTGAGGTGGAAAGACCTATCTCTAATCTGGGCCACACCTTCTGCTGGAAACAGATGTAAGGACATGGAAGAAGGAAGGTTTTTGTTACTTACTGGCTTACTCCGCCTGCTTACAGAATTCAGGACCTCCAGCCCAGGAATGAAACCACCCACAGTGTGCTGGGGTCCTCCCCTCATCAGTCACTAATTAAGAAAATACCCTAAAGGCTTGCCTACAGCCCAATCTTATGGAGGCAATTTTTTTTAATTCTTCTCTCATACAATGCATACCAACTGCAGTTTCCCCTCCCTCCACTCCTCCCAACCTTGCCCCACCTTCTCTCCTCTCCTTCACATCCACTCTTCCTCTGTTTCCCCTCAGAAAAGAGCAGGCCTCCTAGGGATATCAACCCAACACAGAATAATCAGTTACAATAAGACTAGGCAAAAACCCTCATGTAAGGGCTGTGTGAAGCAACCCAGTAGGAGGAAAATGATCCCAAGATCATGCAAAAGAGTCAGAGACACCCCTTTCCACCCCACTGTTAGGAGTCTCACAAAAACACCAAGCTAAACAACCATAATATAGATAGATAGATAGATAGATAGATAGATAGATAGATAGATAGAGATAGACAGATAGATAGATAGATAGATAGATAGATAGATAGATAGATAGATAGATAGATAGATAGATATTATGCAGAGGACCAAGCACAGACCCATGCAGGCTCCATGATTACCACTCCAGTCTCTGTGAGCCCCCATGAGCCCTGCTTAGTTGATTCCGTGGGCCCTGTTTCCTGGCATCATCCATCTCTCTGGCTCTTACAATTCTTCTCCTGAACCCTCTTCTGTGGCATTCTCCAGTCTCCAAGGGGAGGAACCCAACGGTGATCTCTAATTTGGGCTCGCTCTCTCTCTCTCTCTCTCTGCCTAATGTTTGGCTGTGGGTCTCTGTTGTGGGATATTTATACACTGTGTGAAGATGTATTCGCTGTGATTGGTGTAATAAAGAGCTGAATGGCTAATTGCTAGACAGGAAGCAGTTAGGCAGGACTTCCAGTGACAGAGAGGACCCTAGGAAGAAGAAAGACAGAGATGCCAAGAGACACGGAAGAAGCAGGATGGGCGGTATGTGACAGAACATAGATTAATAGAAATGGGTTAATTTAAGTTATAAGAGCTGGTTAAAAATAAGCCTAAGCTCAGACCAAGCTTTTATAATTAATAGCGTCTGTATCATTATTTAGGAGCTGGCTGGTGGGACAGAAAAATACTCTTTATAGGTCTCTACATCTGCTTCAATCAGTTGATGGTGGGAACTTCTCTGATGATGATTGGGCTAGGCACCGACCTGTGACTATAGCAGAATAGCATTAGGAATAATATTTTATTGATTTTTTTTCTACCCTAGGTTGCTGGGCTATCCAGGTTCCAGTTCCTGGTCATCCAGGCAGTGAGTGTCAGGCGTGGGCTCCCTTTCGTGGCAGTAGGCCTCAAATTAGACCAGT